TTTTATTAACAGAAACTCAAAGGAACATTACTAACATACTAACAGAGAACTTCATGTGACTGGATTAAAGAAAAGAAGTTTGACAACACACAGAAGAAGCCCAAGAAGATTAATTGGACATTACTAACAGTTTAATTTACCAGTTTATATATCACTCAGCTTTCTCTTTCTCCCACTGTCTACCCTTCCCATTTCTTCTTTTAAGCGAAATACCTCCCCTTTTTAGGGGAGTCAATAAAACCTTTATTAAAAATATATATATATATTGGGGATTTATGATTTGTAGAATAACAATCGGCAATAGGGAGCACTCACCAGTGTATACAGAGGTCCCACCTTTTCCGGGAGATACCAGTAATAGACACGAATGCTGAAGTCAGTTTAAAATGATGTCTTTACATTCTTTTCCACATTCAAACAATACACAGACGCACACACAATTACACGACTTCTAGGAAAAATAAAGAGAGACGGATAGCACATTCACATTAGCAGGATATCATTGGGGGGGGGGGGCAATACTTTACCTTTCCAAAGGGATGAAGATTCCAAATGGAAAAATAAGTAATAAAATCGAAGTAATAAATAAATAAATAAGGGAACTATAAGAAAATGGGGATTTAAGTTAAGGAAATGGGAATCATGTGACTGAACCGGCAGACACATGTGGAAAGACTCTGGCTGCAGTCTGAGAGTCTTGGGGTAGGATGAATGGCAAGGTAGCCAAAGATAAGAGTCAGCAAATATAGAGGTCGTGGAGGGGGTGTAGAGAGAGAGAGGGACTGCAGTCAGGGGAGAGAGAGAGAGAGACCACATGGCTGGGTTCCCCCTTTTATGAGGGGGGCTTGGGCCAGGCTGGCCACATCCCCTAGTCACATGTCTCTTGGGGGTGGCCTAAGCTGGCCACATGTCCTGGCGCACCTCCTAATAGTCCGTCCCAAAAAACACACTATTGGTTACAGGGAACAAGGGGAGGGGAATAAGAGAGTGGTCAATAATGAGAGCTAGTAACTAAGACTGGCGAGTGGCACCTGGATGAAGAGGGTATGAGTCACCGAGCTAGGGCTATTGTTTCTTGATGGGCTTAACCGAGCCTGTTGATGGGCGAGAGATTAGTTTCCAAGCAACCATGTGTAGAACCTCTCAGTTACGTGCAGTCTTGCAGGTAGATGTGTGAGGGGGTTGCCTGCGTGTGACAGAGGAAGCTCCTCATGGCGTTTGGAGCTCTTTGTCCTTGTGCCATGGCATGGCATTCGACTCCTCCATGCAATTAGGGAAATGGTCCATCTCACAGCAGGTAGGAGGGCAGGTAACCTTGAAGAACCAACTGGAACAGCAATGCAAAGGAAGACTTTCTTCTTTTAGGTGTGCATTCTCAACTGGCATCACATTGGGTCACCATGCAGTACAGTCCCTTAAGCATATGTTTGCACAGTCCGTTTTATCACTTAGGACTTATACAGTCCATAAGAGCACATTAAGTGCCTTGCAGGGCAACAAAATGTTGGTGTGCTTCGATTATTTTCTCATGTCCTGTGAGATGACATCCCAGACTACCAAGTGATGTTGTCTTGCAGGCACCTGATTTTACCAGGAATTTGAGAATTTACCTGGCTGGCCTAAGTCCAAAGTGAGAAGACCATAATGCAGAGTTCATCTTTCCAGGCTTGTTCCACCACCCTCAGTATAAGCACATAAGAGAAGCCATGTTGGATCAGGCCAGTGGCCCATCCAGTCCAACACTCTGTGTCACACAGTGGCCAAAACACAGCTGCCATCAGAAGGTCCACCAGCGAGGCCAGTACTCCAGAAGCCCTCCCACTGTGCCCCCCAAACACCAAGGATACAGAGTATCACTGCCATAGACATAGTGTATCATCTATACCTTGTGGCTAATAGCCTCTGATGGACCTCTGCTCTGTATGTTTATCTAATCCCCTATTGAAGATGTCCATGCTTGTAGCCGCCACCACTTCCTGTGGCAGTGAATTCTACATGTTAATTACTCTTTAGGTGAAGAAGTACTTCCTTTTATCTGTTCTAAACCTACTGCACGTTAATTTCACTGAGTGCTCATGAGTTTTTTGTACTGAGAGAGAAAAGTACTTTTTTCTCTGCCTTCTTTAACTCATGCATAATTTTGTAAATCTCTATCATGTCCAGTGTTCCCTGTAAGCTGAGTTAGTGTGAGTTAGCTCACCGTTTTTTAGCTTGTGGCGAACACATTTTTGTCTTAGCTCAGGAAGGATGGCTCCAAAATAGACTAATTTATGAGGTAACCAAATCACTTGCTCACAACTTTGATGCCAGTAGCTCACAAAGTACAATTTTTGCTCACAGGACTCCATAGCTTAGAGGGAGCATGTCACCCCTCAGTTGTCATTTCTCCAAGCTAAAGAGCTCTAACCTCTTTAACTTTTCTTCATAGGGAAGGCGTTCCATCCCCTTAATCATTTTAGTTGCCCTTTTCTGCCATATCCCAATCATCCTTTAGTAATCCTGTTACCCCTTGATTATCCAAGGTCCCCACTGCCTCCCTGGCTGGGATTTATGTTTTTTTGCAATATGTTCCTTTTTGCCTGTCTGATCACTGACTTGCACAGCTTTGCCTGGTAATACCCAGGTTAGATTGCTGCAATGCATTATACATAACTACCTTTGAAGACTATCTGAAAACTTTAACTGGTTCAGAATGCAGCAACCATATTTTTAACAGGACTTTCTGGCTGAAGCATACCTCACTGACATTCAAAACTATTCACTGTCTTCCAGAGCCAGTTTGGTGTAGTGGTTAAGTGCGCGGACTCTAATCTGGGAGAACCGGGTTTGATTCCCCAGTCCTCCACTTGCAACTGCTGGATGACCTTGGGCAAGCCATAGTTCTGATAAGAGCTGTTCTTGAAAAAGAGCAGTTTCTGCCAGAGCTCTCTCAGCCCCACCTACCTCACAGGGTGTCTGTTGTGGGGAGGAGAAGGGAAAGGAGTTTGTAAGCCGCTCTGAGATTCCTTCGGGTAGTGAAGGGCAGGGTATAAATCCAATCTCTTCTCTTCTTCTTCTCTTTCTGGGCCCAGTTTAAAGTGACTTTTTATTCTGCAAAAGGCCTGTAGAGGACCATCTTGTCTCATAAATTTTCCCTCAGATCTTCTTTTGAGGTCCTGTTCCAGCCACTTCAAAGTTCTCAAGGCACCCCATTTGTGAATATGTATTTTAGCACTGATTTTACTGTCTTTCAGACATGAACTTTTATTAACCTCAGTATTTAAAGGGTGATGTGTTTATAGTGATATTGTTTATTCTGTTCTAATATGGATTTTATATGATTTTAGAAAGAATATGGGTTCTTATTTTTTGTAATAACTTTATTTCTTGTGAGCTGCCTTGAAGGCTTAATTCAAAGGGTTGCAGGACAGATTTTTTAAAAATTCATTGGTTAAAAATATATTTTTTAACCTAACCCCAAATTTGGCATCCTCCCATCAGTTTTTAGATGGTGACAATTCATTTTTTTACTGCTAAAACGTTTTATCGGTTATATAGAATTTTTTTGTGAAACTCATTCAGATTTTTCATTTTCAAATTTAAAACAATAATCGCATGTCAAATCCACGTGTCCTGTTGTGGGTTACCAGGTTTCCACACTGTAGTTTAGGCTAAGAACATAACCAGAGACATGAATACTTCTGCTGTTCTGTTTGGAGACTGGTTCCCAAGACTTTAAAGAAGTATCTGTTCTAGCTTCTACTCTCTTGTTGCTTCTCTCTAACACACAGTGATACATTTTGTTAGCACATGCTGGTAGGAAAGGATGTATAAATCTCCCAGAAAAACAAGCTGCCTTTTACTTATGGTGTTTTTTCAAGTTGTTGACCTTACATTTGTAGAATTTGCAAGGCTCAGGTTTAAGCAGATATCATCTTGAATCGGAGTTGCCGTATGGATGTTTCAAGTACTGGATGTTGTTACAGTTAGGCCCATTTTATAAAGTTAATAGGAATCTTCATGCATGAAGGTTTTGCAGATCCAGGCACCATATATGGCAACTCTTTCTTTATCCTGGCTGACTTTCAAAATTGCACTGAGTTATAAAAATGAGTAAGCATACTGAATTAGAACGTTTATCCTTAACTGTGAATGTTTGGGAATCATGGAAACTGTCTCATAGCTTTAAGGACCGGGTGTGGCATCCACAGAACTTCAGGTGTGCCTAATTAAGAGACTTATAAATCAATGGGTTTTCAACTGTGTACTTAAGTCCCTTTGATTTCAGAGAGGTAGGCTTAACTGTCACCCACTGTTCTTTATTTTAACTATCTGTAAGAGGTGAAGTGTAAGGTATTTATAAATTAGGACAATTTAATATGGGACTATCACAGACTATCACAACTATGTCAGGTGACTGTATTTTTACCTTATGCCTTAGCCAAAGTGAAAGAGAGGAATTTGAAACTGAGTTCAAACAGAAATATGAACGGGAGAAGATCCTGCTGACAGAGGAGAACAAAAAGCTTTCCAATGAACTTGATAAGGTAGGTGTGTTGTATGGGTACAGCTAATATAATGAGAAATAGCCAAAAAAAACCAACCCAGTTCATAGACTGTAACAGTCTATGAACTGGGGGGTTTTTGGCTACAACTTATAAATCACTGTATTTCCATTGTTTGTTATTCATAATATAATGAGCAAAGCATTCAGAAAGTTGGCAGGTGGAACATATTGAGAGATAGAGGGGTACAAATTACAACATACATAATAAAAATCACATTTTAAAACCAATCCCCCCCCAAAAAAACACACACATCATTAAAATAGTTAAAACAGCTAAAATACATACAAAAATACAAAAATGACAATTAAAACATTGGTCAGGGAGAAGGGATTGCTGAGGGAATGTCAAATAAAAATGTCTCCACCTGCTGGCCAAAGGTAGCAATAGCAGGGGACAGATGAGTCTCCTTGGGGAGAAGAGAGTTCTGGAGTTTTGGTGTCACAAGTGGGAAGGCCGTCTCCTAGGTTGCCACCCACATCTCAGAAGGTGGGTGCACCCAAACCAGGGCCTCTGGAGATGACCATAATGATAAAGTGGGTTCATAACAGTGGGTCCTTTAGATATATTGATCCCAAACCATATAGTGCTTTGAAGGTCAATAAGAGGGAAGGTACTTTCAGGGATGGGAAATCCCTGCTTCTTGTCCTCCCAGCCTCCCAGGAGGAGAGGTGATGAGATCAAGACAGCTATTGGAGGGGGCTTGGAGTTGAAAAGTGCATTTTCCACACCATGCCTCCCACACTGGTCCACATTTCCTCTTCACAACTCCTCCCCCTCTCTTCATTACCACTGCCACCACCTCACCCTTCAATTACTGACCCTTTCCTCTCATTATGTCCTCCTGCCACCTCATTGCCACTGCATGGTTCCTTGCAACTCTCCTGACATCATTTTCTTTCTTCTTTTCTGGTGTTTATTATTTTTTTTCATACTCCTTGATTATACCAACCATGATCTCATGAGATCTCAATCAGCATTTTTTCAAGAATCATTATGTGTGCATCTGTGTACACACACTGCTTCTGCTGGTTTTAAGGGCTTCTGCTCTCCAATATTTTGTATTAAGCTCATACCTCGTTCCCCTCCCTTTGCAGCCTCTTCCTGCCAAAACTATGATCCAGTTATGCAGTGCTGGCCACCAGGCTGGGCCTAGCTGCACAGTAGGAAGCGCACAAGGAATTGTGGAGGGCACCTCGATTGCCCCTCTATCCCCTTCCCTGCACTATTTCCTATTTCCCTCTTCTTGGCAACCTCCGTATCTTTACCGTTCCCTGCTTCCTTTTCTCCCCACCAACCAACCTATCTTTTTATCTGCCCCCTATCTTCAACTATATTTATTATTTCATTCATACCCAGCCTTTCTCTACAATAGGGTTGCCAAATCGACTTACCTCTGCCAGCGGGGGACTTTGTGCTGGCTCCCGGCAGCATGCACGTCACAGGGAAGTGATGTCATGACGCCGGGGACACTGGGGGCGGGGCACAGCCATTTGAGGGGAAAACTCTATGTTTTCCCCTCAAATGGCTGTGCCCCGCCCCCAGTGTGCCCGGCGTCACGACGTCACTTTCCTGTGACATGCACGCAGGGGTGGGGTTTCCCCCGGGGGCCGATTCCGCAGGGGTGGAAATCGGACCTCCAAAGCGGGGGAAATCCGCCCCCCGGGGGGATTTGGCAGCCCTACTCTACAATAGGGACCCAAAGTAGTTTACATCATTCTCTTCTCCTTCATTTTATACTCACTACCCTGTGAAAGATGAAAATGTGCAACTGGCCCAAGGATACTGATTCAACTTCCACAGCAGAGTGGTGATTTGAACCTGGATCTCCCAGACCCTAATTTCTAACCACTAACACTATACTGGTTTTCATGAGGTGGCTGTTGTTGAACAGTAGCAAACGGCCAAGTGTGGATGAGTCTTGCAGATCTTGTCACACAATGATTGCAGCCAGGCCTAGCCCCAGTGAGTCCTTCCTCAAAGGCCAAAGCAGCCCTGGAAAGGGCCCTGACCGCCTTCCCCTTAGTGACAATCAGCAACTTCCTACTGCAAAGTATATGTATAATAAGAATGGGAAGTATTTTGAATGAGTACAAAAATTTTAAGATCTGAGAAGCAAGATGGGCATGGTGAAATGCATATAAGTAGACTCTCATATTGATTAGAAGGAAAAGTACCTCAGAAAATGAAATTTATAAAAAACATATGGAGTACAGATCTTCTTGAATGTGAAGGACTGATAATAGCTAAAGTAGAAGAAAGGAAGCTATTTTAATAGTTTAGTTATTGATTAAAATATTTGTATCTCATTATATCCCATTTTGCCCCGTGAAAGGGGCCAAGGTTGCTTAGAATAAAGAATATGCCCATCAGGTATATTCTTTATTAATTTTAATCACAGAAGAAAGTTGCTTCAGATTATCAGGGTAATGTCTTATATCTGCAAAGATTAATTGCATCTTTAACGTATATTCAGATTACGGCTATATATGAAAGACTTAGTATGAATAACCGGCAGTTAGAAGAAGAGATGAGAGATCTTGCTGACAAAAAAGAATCTGTAGCACATTGGGAGGCCCAGATCACTGAGATCATCCAGTGGTGAGTATCAACTGTAATCTTGGCTATCACTGAGCCTCATGCAACAAGGTGCTTTCCATTTTTCGTATTCCTTGGTGATCTCTTTTCAAGTCTCCTTGAGAAATATAAATGTATTGTCGGAGGTACAAATCATGTCTTTGCAAGAATGCAATAGTGATAGGAGCTATGAGAATTAATTTTCACTATCTCCATTAGATTCGTAGATGGTAGAAGAACTTATTGACTTTGGTGAATTTAGAAGGGTGTAACTCTACTTCAGGTTGCACTACAAGTCTTCTACTGGGAAAATAAAACCAAAATAGTCAGAGCAAAATGCAGATCTCTTTTCATTGCTGTTTCTGGTGGTAATACTTCTATGAAACTGACCTTTTCCAAGTACTGTTTTAAAATGGTCTGAGAGAAAGATATGGACATGCATTTGAGCTGTTTGTGGGAAGGGAACATTTTTGTTGTAACTTATTTTGTCTCTTGGGATCTTTATAATATTTAACATCTGAAAACAACCTGTACCTAAATATTTTCACAGATTTCTTAAACTGATTAATCTTAATGTCTTGCAGCAGTCTTTGGTGTTTACGCTATTTGTGTCTCCTTTCAAAGCAGCTGTATAACTGATTTTTTGTATTAAAAGCGGGTAAATGTAGGAAGCCTAGTTAAATAGACAGTGTTTTTCACAACCAGTGCAACTTCATTGTCCATATTTAGACAATGCTTTAGATTTTGAGTATGAATGGTCACTCAGTGCATGTTAGGCTTTGAAACTCTGGATGTGTTCCAAGCTGTGTAGCTTGCTTTATAAATATGTATTATTCAAGTCTGTTTGGTCTAAAGGACTGATTTTTGCAGAAGTAAAGATTAAAAATCAGAGCAAGATAGTGCTTCTTGTCAATTCCTTTGCAATAAGCTTTATCATGTAGGAGAAAAACAGTGAAGCAAATAAATCTATCTATATATAAAGAAGCCAATCCCTCACTGAATGATTTAATTTAATTTAATTTAATTTAAAGTTTCTTCGGTTGAAATAAAGTTTTAAGATTTGTGCATATACAGCCCATTGCCCTGATTACTAAAAAGTCTGAAAATGTCTTGATCCATCCAAATTCAGGATATGGTCTGCCTCATAAAAATAGACATCAGCTCTGATGGAACATAGTGCTGCCTGTGGATTCAGGTTTCTAACCTGAATTTTGTGGTTGGGGGGCATAAGGATTTTGATTGAGTCTAGGATTGCCAGATTGCTATAATCTCATGCTATAATCTCAAACCCTGAGACTCAGTGGGAGGAGCTTGATGATGTCTCAGGTGGGTTCCAATGATGTCATGTAGTGGGACTTGGTGATGTCACATTGAATAGCTCCATTAATTGTAGTACTTCCATCCACCAGTAGATGTGTGCTACACATGGCATCTGTGTGCAGTCACAGTCATGAGCATCATGTTGGAGATCATGTTCTAGGGGCTGCCTGATTTATAATCTTTTGGTTACACAGAGGCCATCTCCATGTAGGAAAAAGAAACTTATCCTGTCATTTGGGTGACATACAGTTGCATTTATTCTTGCAATTACACATGTAAAGCAGCATGCATGTGGTCTTGGCTATGGTCTTAAACACTTCTTTGAGTTTCTGATTTTGTTAGCTTAATGTTGCACTCTTGTTAGGTTGATAACAGAAGTCCACAGAGTACTTTTGTCAGGACACACATGCCACAGCGTAACAATGGCAGTCTGTAAGTGATCTTGCCCTTGCATTCAGCATTCATGGCCAATGAACATGTTTCTGAAACACTAAGGTATATGCTTTTTTATAAAAAAATTACTGTACTGAGATTTCTTTTTGTTATAGCAACAATTGAGAACATTTACTTATAGAAATTATGTTTCAGGAATAATATGCACTCACCTAATTTTAAACAACTCAGGTCATATTAAATAAGATAAAAATATAGTGTTACTTTATATTTAGCAGATACAGTCCTCCCCAAAGGATAATCCCCATTTAAATGAATGGCAGCTATGTAAGCACAGTGAAGATTATAACTACTGATTCCTAGAATAGAGGAGGTTCTGGATTTAGTTCAGCCATTTTTAAGAAAGTGGGTGGCTGGTGTAGGGTCGAATTATGTCCTCATTTCTAAAAGTAGCCTGATGTCAATAGTGAGTCATAAATTTATTAAGCTTTTCACAAAAGTTAATTTAATAATTAAAACCTTTCCCCCTTTGCTTTTACTAAAGTTCTTACCTCTCTTTCTTTCATTGCTTGACTAGGGTGAGTGATGAAAAGGATGCTCGAGGCTATCTGCAAGCTTTAGCCTCCAAAATGACTGAAGAACTAGAGGCCCTGAGGAACTCCAGTTTAGGTGCAAGAGCAACAGTAAGGAATTGATTTGCTGCATCCTAAAGTCTCCATTTCTAAGATTTGTTGTGCTGTTAAATAAATGTTTAGGGCATGTTATATCATCCCTTACTTCAATGTAATGTCAGCAAACAAAACGTTACAGGATTGCGGCATGGTTATGACATCAGCGTTTGGTTAGGAACACTAAGTTAGGTATATCTGCCACCTGAGGGTGGAACAAACCATGTGTAGGTCAGTTCTCCTTTTAACAGGGTTCTTTTATCTTATCAAATGCAATCACTGAAGATATAGAGTCAAGGAGGATACTAGCATGAGGAGAGAAGAGAGGCTATTAAAACTTTCCTGTATGCTGTGTTGCTGCAGAAAACTGCCATTTATTTTTCTGTTTGTTTCTTCCCCATGGAAACCCAGGGTGGCTTACATCCTTCTCCTGTCCTTCATTTTATCCTCGCAACAACCCTGTGAGGTTGGCTAGCCTGAGAGTATGTGACTTGCCCAAGGTCACCTAACAAGCTTCAGTAGCAAAGTGGGGATTCAAACATGAGTCTCGTAGATCCTAGTCCAAATCTCTAACTGCTACACCACACTGACATAGGCCAGTGTATTTTTTAAAAGCTGCCAGCAACACCAGCAGACAGAAGCCCCATTCGCATGTTACAGGGAATGCACATCCATCCTACCTGTACATGCGTACCTGTTTGTAAGGAAGCGCCAACATGCATTCAGCTTTACAAATGAAACTGAGGACTAGTACCTGGATAACCCTCAGATTTGAATCACAGATAGAATCTAGAGAAAACGTATGAGTATCCCTCCCATTTTAGCTGCAACCCCTCTCCTCTCAAGCCAGTCTTCCCCTTGAAATTGCAACCCCAGCAGCTACATTTGGTAAAAGAAAAATGTCTGTTAAAAGGCTTATGGAACTACACCTAACACATTGTTCTGCCTCCAAGCTCTAGACATGTGGCTTGGTCAGCATGGCTGTATAACCTAATGGCATGCAGAATTTGTGGCCATGATTCAGTGCTTTGAGTATGTTTCAGCATGCCATTTTTGGAAATATTTATGAACATGTGACTTTTTTTGCTTCACTTATCTGTCTCCAATAAGCATTTCACGCACTGGACCTGTTATATTAAGATCTTTGTTGCGATTGGTTATAAACTTATTTATTCCATTTGAGGTACAGGTTCATAAAAAACATTTGCTTCAGTAGTCCCATATGCCTTTGTTGAGACAGTTTTCCTATTGGACTGCCAACAGTCTTATCATCAAAATGTACTCCTAGAAGGATTTACTCCTCTTGTGAAATATCGTTTTGTTTTAATGTAACCTATGATATAAACCAGCTATTTCACTAAGTTACTAATGCCTGTAAAACTATAGGATAGCAGTCTTTGTTTTACTTAAAAACAAAAAGGATAATCTATTGGATAATTGTCAGAACTCCCCAAGAGAGACTAGTGTGCAACAAAGAAATGACTGAACTGAAAATAAATTGTTTTTTCTGTTTTTGTTTTTTAGGACATGCCCTGGAAGATGCGCCGCTTTGCAAAACTAGATATGTCTGCAAGGTTAGAACTACAGTCAGCCTTGGATGCAGAAATACGAGCCAAACAAGCAATTCAAGAGGAACTGAATAAAGTCAAAGCTTGTAATATTGCAACAGAATGGTACCGTTAATTTATTCTAATACTTGCAAACACTTTAGAACAGGTTAGATGAGCAAGAGGGAAAGGGACTTTGCTGATGTTATAGTAGGTCTAAGCCATGGTCCGTGGGAGTTATGCAATCTGGAGTCCAATCTGGAGTCACAGTAGATAACTCAATGAAAATGTCGAGACAGTGTGCAACTGCAGTAAAAAAGGCCAACACTAGGCTGGGGATTATTAGGAAGCGAATTGAAAACAAATCAGCCAGTATCACAATGCCCCTGTATAAATCAATGGTGCGACCTCATGTGGAGTACTGTGTACAGTTCTGGTCACCACACCTCAGAAAGGATATTATAGCATTGGGGAAAGTGCAGAAAAGGACAACTAGAATGATAAAAGGGTTGGAACACTTTCCCTATGAAGACAGGTTAAAGTGCTTGGGGCTCTTTAGCTTGGAGAAACGATGACTGAGGGGTGACATGAGATTATGCATGGGATAGAGCAGGTAGAGAAAGAAGTACTTTTCTCCCTTTTTCTCCCTTTCTCACAATACAAGAACTCGTGGGCACTCCATGAAATTGCTGAGTAGTCAGGTTAGAACAGATAAAAGGAAGTACTTCTTCACCCAAAGAATGATTAACACATGGAATTCACTGCCACAGGAGGTGGTGGCGGCTACAAGTATGGGCAGCTTCAAGAGGGAATTACATAAGCATATGGAGCAGAAGTCCATCAGCGGCAATTAGCCACAAGGTATAGATAGGAACTCTCAGGCTGGGGGAAGTGATGCTCTGTATTCTTAGTGCTGGGGGGGGGGCAACAGTGGGAGGGCTTCTAGTGTCCTGGCCCCGATGGTGGACTTCCTGATGGCACCTGGTATTTTTGGCCACTGTGTGACAGAGTGTTGGACTAGATGGGCCATTGGCCTGATCCAGCATTGACTTATCTTATGTTCTTATGTTCACATGGTAACAAAAAAGTGACCAGAGGGACACAAAGGAGTGGGAGAGAGCAACTCAATGGAGAGTGCTGCAGCAGAGTCTGGTGTGTTAGTATCTGATGCTGGGAAGAAACTGATTATGAACAAAAGCCAGCTGATCCACATAGCATTCCTTTATGTTCTCCAAATGCCCCTCTCAAGAGTAATGATGGTGTTTGAGGAAAGGCAAGAGGGGTATTGGAGCAGGATTTAAGAGGGTTTTTTTCCTTTGAAGTGGTATTATGTGCATCATCACTGGTACAAAAATTAATATTTTAACTTCTTGAAAAAAAGACAAGGACATTGGTGAAATTGACAAAACATTCCCCTCCAGTTTGGGGGAAGGGGGCACATCAAAGTAAACGGTGAAGTGGGAAGGATATAAAGAAGGAAAGTTGAGTTATGAACAACTCTTCTGTACTAGGTTTGACAGCACTAAACCAGGTGACGCCTAAAAGGATAGAGAAGCTAAATAAATTATAAGTTAGCTCTTGAACAGAGACAACATCAAAATGCAGTGCTTTGGGTGGAATATCATCTAGATTCTGAGGAATCAGTGAATGAACAAACAGTGTCGATAATGGCAAAAACAGCTAGCACAGATCGATCCCTTTTGTAGATGCTAAAATGTATTGTTTGTCAAACCTTGATTGTAATGGTACAGTTGTTTGTGGCAGCTTTGGTTAAAAGCAAGAGCCATGCTTTCATAAGCCAGTGTAGCATAGTAGTCAGAGTGTTCATAGCTGAGACCCTGATTCAAATCCCTACGCTGCCTTGGAAGTTTGTTGGGTGACCTTCAGCCAAGTTATGCATACACTTGGCTTAATTTACCTCACAGGGATATTGTGAGAATAAAATGAAGGTGAGAAGAATGATGTAAACCGCATTATTACTCTTATTATGGTTGCACAGAACCCATATAAAATAAAATTGTCTCCTCCAAATTTTATTCATGCTTTTTTGTCAACTGGCTGTGGTCTTAATTGAACCGTGCAGCAAATAATGTTCGAGACATGTCCAGATAATATGGCCCTTATTAATTGGAAACCTGTGTTTTATCCTTGTTTGTTTTGAAGTAAACTACAGGAATCTGACAAGAAGAACTCTGAGCTGTTGGCAGAAATAGAGAGACTGAAAAAAGAGACAGAAGAACTGAGATCAGAAAAGGGTATGGAAATTGGTATCCAAATAAACAAAGGCATAATCTGCCCCGCAGTGATGGGTATATCTTATCAAATAAGAATGTCCTCTTACAGCATGTTGAAAGAATCTGGATTCTGAAAATTCTGGCTCTTAAAGTGTCAACATAGCTGTTGTATGATAAGATGTACCCAAGGCTGTTACAGAAAGATAGAAGCACATTTATCTTGGGCTCTCTCAGTACACTTGAGGGGTGTTTATTCTAATCCCGTTGTATTTCTTTTGAATCTTCTATACAGCACTTAACTGTGATCACTTTACTATTCCATAAAGATTTATATACTAGTAGTTTTTTTCAGATGCATATTGACTGACCATAATGATGAATGAGCTCCCAAACACTGGATGTAATGCATGGTTAAAATGGTGGCTCTTGTCATGCTTAATAATTGTACGCTTCAAAGTAATCATATGGAGTTGATGGGCCTCCTCCAAAGTGACTGTATGTTTATTTCAGCCATAATCTTTCAGTTTACAGACTTAAGATGTAAACTTGAGAATAGTAAATTGCAATTGTCCTATTGTGGATAACTTCATATAGTATTATCACTCTCCTTTCTTCATTGGTATTGTTCTGAAAAAATACTTAATGATAGATCATGGTGAATTGACATGGCTAATGTATGAAGTGAATTACCTGGACTAGTGTAAAATTCTCTTTATGCTTACATGGGTGATTTGTTTTATGCCTGATTTGTTTTACACCTTTTTTGCTCTTTTAAATATGTATTAAGTAGTACTTTTGATAAATTATTATGATGTGAAATTATGTTACTCTATGCATAACTTCACACTAAACTCAGAGCAAATAGGGAGTTATCCCCTTAACTATAGCATTTCATCATTCAATATCAGTGAAGCAGGCAACCTCTCTAGTTACATAGGATAATTTTTTACTCAGTTCAAATAAAAAAGGAGACAAAAGACTCTAAATAACCAGCCTTGGAAGAATACTTGGGGGAAATTGGATCTCTCTAAGCAGAGTAACAGAAACTGCATTAGAACATGCACCAGCTTCAAAAATCTTAATCCGAAAGAACTGGGTTGAGAAACAAAGGCTGCAATCCTTTATTTATTTTTATTTATTAAAACAGTTATAAAGATGAAGTTAAAATGAACAATTCTAATTTTTATGGTATTCTTTTACAAATAGCACAAACCTAAGCATATCTACTCAAAAGTAAATCCTGTTAAATTCATTAGGATTGATTCCCTAGAAAATGTACCTAGGATTGAAGCCAAAGTCACATACAAGTGTATTTCTAGTTTTTATGTATTGAATCTGGATTCTAGATTTTATATATGCATGTCGCACTCAGATACATATAAGTAAACTTAAGAGTAACATGTGTTTATTATGAATGGGATTCAGCTACATTATTTTTATATAACTGTATCAGACTGAGTCACTTAACATGGAAATTGTTTCCCAAGAAGAGTGCTTTTGAGATTAGACGATCCATCGTGTACATGTGAGGAATGTTGTTCAGTACAGAACAGTGGAAAAAACCTGAAGCTTGAAACAATCCTTTGGGTAACATTTGAGAAGATAAAATATATAGATGTTGACATCAGTCTGCCTAGAGCTATTCTTGAAGATTGTTTAAAGATAATTGATTTACTAATGCATCTGTATTGAAAGCCCTGAAGCTAAATATCAACTTCTTTTATCTTGTGAAGATGCAACATTAGTCTGAGCTTGGTTTAGTGGCTGAGAGGTTAAGATGCTGAGCTGCAGACTGGAAGGTCTGTAGTTCGATAGTTTGAGACCCTAGTGCCGCGTGACAGAGTGAGTTCCTGTCTCTGGCCCCAGCTCTTGCCAACCTAGCAGTTTGAAAGCAAGAAATTGCAAGTAGATAAGTAGGTACCGCTTTGGTGGGAAGGTAACAGCATTCTGTGTGGCTCGGTGTTTAGTCATATTGGCCACATGACCACGGAAACGTCTTTGGACAGCACTGGTTTTTCGGCTTGGAAACAAAGATGAGCACCGCCCCCTAGAGTCGGATTCAACTGGCTTTCGAACAAGTTAAACCTTTACCTTTTTTATACTAGCTTTGGTATCTATGCAGGATATGACTTCCCCTCTAATCAAAGGCCAAGCTGGAAGGCAGTTGTGCACACCAGCCATACCCATTTTAACAGAGGGGATAAACCTCATTTCGGACAGTCCTAGATTAAAAGGGTGGGGTCATGCTTTGCTTTTGGGGCATACTTCTCTGACACACAGTGTAGTGCAGTGGTTAGAGTGTCAGACTAGGATCTTGGAAAACCAGGTTCAAATCCCCATTGTGCCATGGAAGCTTGCTGGGTGACCTTGGGCCAGTCACACACAACATGGCCTAACCCTACCTCACTGGGTTGTTGGGAGAATAAAACAGAGGAGATGGGAACAATGTAAGTCACATTGGGTCCCCATTGGGGGAACAGGCATGGTATAAATGAAGTAAATAAATAGATTCTGTTCTTCTGTTCCCATAAATACTAGGCCCTAGTAGAATGCATACACTTGTCTGCTGCTGAAGCTTCTTTCATTTCAGTCTTTACCATTACTGAGAACATGACCTGCCTCAAAAACCCCATGATTGGGGTCGTCATAAGTTGGTTGCAACAATGGCTCACTTTACCTCTAGAGAAAAAGGTATCTGTTCTTGGTATAGTGGCAATTTGGATAATTATGCTTTAGTTGCTGCCAAAGTTGTCTTGAGCTATACTCTGTCGGATGCCTAATGTAATGGTTAGCCCAGCACTGAATTTAAAAATGGGTGAAGCATGTCCCAGTGGCCCAGGTAGTATATCCATTGTACATGTTAACACAGATATGTCATAACTTTTCTGACATACGAAATCTTTTCTACCATTTGTCCTGTAGCCTTACATAAATTCTGCTGGTCCAAAAATGTCATGTTAATACAGAAAAGAACACTGTTGATCATACAAGGTGATATACACACCTTACTTTCATTGTTTCAACCAGTAAAATCCAAATAGTGTATTCAACATGCCGTTTTAACGTTGCACTAAGGCGTTTTGAAGTGGAACCGCTACCAAAAACCTTTATAACATTTTTTCAGTTACCACTTTTCCTGTGTTCTCTGTATGGGCATGCATAAAAAGGGTTCTATCTTTATTTTAAAAATGAAGTGTTATTTCTAAAACATTATTACCCTTATATAAGGGGGGGCACCTGTCTCAAGGAGTACCCTACCTTTTTCTGCAGCTTTACCAGTTGACATCTGCCTCAGCAGAAGTTGGACTTTCTGTTAACTCCTTTTCAATCTTGTTGAACTTTGTTCAGGCTCCCAGCCTTTGCTCTGCAGGCTCCTCTGGGTTGATTCTGACCCATGGCACCCTTCACATTTACACTTGCTGGGGACACAGAGCTTCTCTCCCCATCAATAACCATATTGCCCGCTTCAGATGGCTGTTCCCTCCATTCATGCCATTTGTATCTAGAGTCTAATTTGAGGAGGTTTGATTACAAGTCAACCTGACCATCCTACTCATGAGTAAGCTTTAATGGAAGAAAGTATGCCATTATTAGCAGGCAGGATTCTGGAGGATGGAGTTATATGAAGCAATCCTATCACTCCCTGTGCTGATATGGCCAGGTCTGGAGCCTGTATTATACTGCCCCCTGGTTCTGCCTCTCAGAGATTAGATATTTTCCGAAGGTACATCTTCTGTGATGCAGAATCCAAGATGGATTCAGAGTTAGGGAATTGCTTTAAGTTTTCCTTTGTCTTCTGTGTCACCAAAAAAAAAGAAAGAAAGAAAGGAGAACCTGCCCATTGTCATACTCTGGTTTCTCTTCAGATCGCATAAATCTTTCGCCTGCCCATTGTCTTTCCCCAGTTAGAACTCAAACAAAATAAGTTTCTAACTGGCACTCCAGTTGAGCAAGTGTGGCCCCGGTCACACGAGAGGTTTTGGGCCAGGAGAGGGACGGATTGGGGGCGCAGCAAACGGGCGCGAACTTTCCCACAGCAACATCTGGGAAGCGTGGTGCGCTCGTTCCCAATCCGGCCCTTCCACCCAAACCCCTGCATCAAAAATAAACCACCTACCTAGGTGGTTCTTCGGGAAAGGGCGCATCAAGGCCGGCCGTGGGATCGCCAGCGCATCCTTCCGCCGGCTCATCCCCGGCTCCTGGCCAAATTGCGCATGCTCAGACATGCACAGTTCGGCATCCTCCCCCTCCCGACTGTCGCTTCCTCCCCGGCATCTGATCGTGCCGGGGAGCAACGGCGCCACGGCTCAGGGGATCCATGGGATCCCACCGTGGCGTCTCAATTTTGGTGCGGCTTTTAAAAGCCGCACTTTGCCCGTTTTTTTTTCCTGCCGTGTGGCAGGGACTTGTGTCTCATTTCAGACAACTCCATGGAAAGAGGTAAGCTTTCTCAGTGTGGCTTACTTAATAGATGAGGGTATTCCTTCTTTACAGAATGTTGAATAAAGTTATAGAGGCCCTAGGCTTTGTTACTGTAACTTCAGGTAAAGCATTTTTTTCCTCAGTGACTAGCCGCGAATATATGCCTTCAAGCAGAAGTTTGTTTTCCTCTCAGTCCTATTTTTGAGCAAATACTCTTAAATAAATGGCAGAAACATGCTAAGTCTCCCAGAATCAATATACTCATTCTCAGGGTTAATTTTTTCTTTCACTAATGTCAAGGTGAACATGTTCTCTTCTCCTACAATATGTGTGGTGAAAGCTGCACTCTCAAAAAATGCAGCTCTCTACGCACTGCAGGCAATGTCTAACTGAAGAATTTCGGTACATCCTGAATGATTCTTGTGTCCAAATGTGAAGCATACAAAGCTTTAGGCTACTCTCAGAAATTGGTTCTTTTATTTATTTTTTTACCAACCCAGAGATTGCTAAAAGAGGCTGCAATGCTAACTGGACGACATTTATTTTGTGATGTGAACCATGCAACATCTATCCAGCTAAAACAAGGACCCTTCATGTTGTAGACTCCCTGCATGATGTACCAGATAAAGTCTTCAATCTGATAATTTTTTTAAATATGGGGATTGAAGCTTTGTCAAATGTCTTGCCAAAACCCAGGAAGTCTTTGTGCACCCTTACATGGGGAGATTATTACATTCAAACTCATTTTTTCTCCTCCACTGATCACTGGGTTTCTTGAAACCTGGATTTGGTGCTAGATGTCATTACTCTGGTTCCTTTTGAGCTGCTATGCATAGCATCACTCTTATTTGCATATTAAAATGGGCTTTCTTGTAGTGTTTATCACTGCCAGACAGGTATCATAATTAGGTGTCCTCCCTGTCCATTTTTCACAGTAACTGTGTTGTCCAGCATCTAGATTGAAGTGGATCCATCAGAAATTTTCTTTGACAGAAGGGAAGACAGTTTTTGTTGCAGCAGACCTCCAATTCCACCCTCATGCAGTTCCTCAAGGTTCCCATCTCCCAAAGTATGGGGGGGGGTGGATATCGAGGAGTGCAGCAGAAGTTCTGCCTGGTGACAGAAATCCATTCTGTCAAAACAAATGTTGTGTGCCATCTAAACCACTGACTTAAGGCTAAGGTGAAGTTTCATTTCTGCCGCTAGCACCTCTTTCTGCCCCAATCCTATCCAACCCTAGGAGAACGTTCCGTAGAGCTCGCCATTTGGAACAAGACATAAATATTGAAGTGTCAGGGGAAGCATGTTCTCTTGCATATTAAGCAGGGTGTCGTCCCCCCCCTTCCTGTGACAGAGAGTCTTCTGTGTTTTCATTGAGAATACTTATTCTCTGGTACTGGCAATCAAAGTTTAAGGACCCTGAGCTGCTTGGAAATTGATTTTGGCCTTTTCAAGTTTTGGATGGTCCTTTTCTTTACTAGTGTGTGGTTCTTTAGAAGCCCTTGGCTGGAAGACTGTAGGAATGGCTGAGGTGCTCCTAGAGGTGTCTTCTTTCTTTTTAAACAACTCTTGTCTCCTTTTACTGAGTTGAGGAGAAAGTCCTTAGGTTTTGGAATGATCGCAGAAGTAAGGACTCTGTTGTCCATGTTTTGTAGCTTAAAATGTTTGCTGCTGTTTTCTAGGTGTAAAGCACCAAGACTCACAGAATTCTTTCTTGGCGTTTTTGAATGCTCCTACCTCTGCTCTGGATCAATTTGAAGTAAGTACACAGCTGATTGCGTGTGTGTGTGTGTGTGTGTGAGCATCTATTCTGTGTAAATCTGGCTTGCCATCATTATTACAAAGTTTAATCAAATTTGCCACTGATACATTACAAACAAGCTTATTAATGTAGATTAAGTCATAGGAAATGTTGTGCAATTTGCTTTCTCTCTTTTCCTTGCAGCTAAAAGTTCCATGACCAGGATAAAATGGAAGATATTTTAAATATTGATATCTTCCTTTTTAAGTGGCTTTTATTGTGTTATTTCCATACATTTATTTACAGGAACCTCATAATTCCAAACACTTTGTGAACTGATGGTTTTCTTCAAACCTGTAGCAAGGATTAATCTCAGAATTATTTCTTTCCTTCTATTTTTTGTATTTTTACTGATGAAATATATTCTTAAAACAGAATATCTGTAGTAGAGTCTGATAAAGAATCAAAATGGGTAGGAAAAACATCATGACCTGCTGCTTTTCTTATCATTTATTTAAATAAAGCAAACTATTATGTAAAATGGTCAGGATCTTACTTCAACAACTATTTTCAGCTTGCACTATTATCAACAAACTATTCAACAGGATTTGGTTACAAAAATGTAAGAAGTAAAAATTAGTATTAGGTAGCACATACTCTGTGGGTCTGCCAGTCTCATCTCAAGAATTCATATTTTTCTTCTGAACTGCTTTAGCATGTGTAAGCTAAGAAGGGAGAGGGGTGGGAAAATGATATCCCTTCCAGTGAATCCTTGTGGGTGAATACTTGTGCCCCCCTATTTAACGGAGTTGCTGCCTTCGTTAGACCCATTTGCATTCCTACCAAACAAGACATCTTACAAGCAAGGGAGGGGCAACAAGCGGTTGGGAGTAATTTTTTTATTTATTTATTTATTTATTACATTTCTAACCCGCCCTCCCGCTGAAGTTTAAAACCCGCAAGAACAACATAAAACATAATTCCATAAAAATTCCATAAATACAGTAAACGAAACAGACAAATGGTGAACAACCACAAGCATATATCATTTGTTCAGATGCATAAATGAGAACAAGGCTTGGCTTGAAAAATAGGAACACGTTCTCCTTGGTTTGGGGCAAACAGAAACCCAAAAAAGGAAAGTTCCTTATGCTCTGAACTGTGTTTCCATATATGTTTAAACCAATTACTAGTCATCTTTCTAATATGACCCAAAGAAAAAAGATTCACCTGAAGAAAAGAGGCAAAAACCTGAAGTGAGAATAAAACAAGATGGTAAACTGGGGTGACAGTCCCAAGAGATGGAGAGAGAAGTGAGGTTGGGGGACCAAAGAAAAGAAGGTTGGAGTAGAGCTGTCTGAAAAAGGATGCTTGACTTGGTACTTTCTCACTAACTCAGCAACAGACTACAGCCACCTTTCCATACAAATTCCTGCCGTTCAGTTCAGATCTCATTAGTATGTCTTGTTAGTCGAATCAGTATAAGACATTCAGCTCCCACTCCCTCCCCTTCCTTCTTACTCTTCATGTCTTTAGGATTGCCTACACCAGTAACACAAAGTATATAATCCCTTTCTGTACTACTCATGAGTGTACAGACTTTCTCTTGGAATCTAGGCCACTGATTTAGGTCTCCTGTGCACTCCAGCACTGAGTCCTTCGTGTTGTCAATAGGGTACAACCTGTCCAGTTCCTGGTTTTATGTGAGATTTTGCCTTAGTGTACTCATGGACTTAGTGGACCCATGGAAAAGATATTTTCCACATTACTCTTCTTGCTGCAGTCTGCGCCCACCCAAAAAGCTGTTCTTGAACATACCCCATTCCCTCCTTGGGAATGTCATGGGATGTGCTGTGATGGAGGAATCTGCAGATATTGCTCCGCCCTCTTGCTTTAGTAGAAATGACATTCTGCTCACAAAAGGGGAAGTTTTTATTCAACCCCGTGTCATAGCCACTTCTACAGGTATTCCTCACTTCCTTTATCCAGCTCTCTTTTGACCAGATTCTCTGCATATCTTTTCTCTCCCCCACACAGCATGTTGCCCTGAAGTATTTAAGGTTTTTCAAACATTGCTGCAGTTTTTTTTCCCCGACCAGTTGCAATGTCCATGGTTCACACTGATTCAGCCAATCAATGCCCAAGGCTTCAGTGCCCAAAGCACAATACAATATAAATGCTTTAATGACAAAGTGATAATTGTCCAATTAACTTTTATAATAATAAATAAAAAATAAATAAAAATAATTTCCTTATATTATTTTCTGTGTTGAAAGAAGGGAAAAAACCAAAAGCAAAACAGGAGGGGAAAAGCACTATAAACATTTGATATGATAAAAATTAATAATCAACAATAATAGTCTAGTAAATGTTTTTCTGCCAATCTTTTGAAATCTTTCTTTATTTGATTTATCAACAATAGTATTTTAATAAAATAGAAGGTTTCATCTGTCTGTTTCTGTTCCTTTACTGCTGTATTTGTTAAAATAGGATTCCCTTTCTTCTTCATCATCCTCATTGATTGATTTTATGGATGACGTAAGTCTTTCACCTCAAAACTAGCAAACTGGTCAGTAAAAAGTGAATTGTGAATTAGTTCAGCAAATTCTGATAGTAATGCAGTCACTTTAAGAAGCTTGCACCATCATAAGCATGCAAGTCTGTGGAACATTTCTCTGCTCCTGATAAGTTTATATCATCTGTCATTAATTGAATTTTCTTTGTGTTTTACTGTTTTTAAGTGCTAAGGCACATTATGTGGCTTGTTTATTGAGATGCTTCATTCTCACTCTAATGTTTTTGGCACAGTTAAATTGCTGGTTCAGAAGTTGGATCATTAAAAATCTGTTGCTGAATTACTCTTTTTTGTTTGTTTTGGGGGGTGTATTTTTATTTTTTATTTACTTTGCTTTCCAGCAGATTTCTTGTCTCTGCTCAGTGTCTTACACTTAGAACAGTTTCAGCTTCCAGATGTCACCGCACATGAGTATTATACCAGCCATTTTGTTTTGATTTTATTTTGTGTATTGGGCATTGGCAAAATATTGTAGTAGCTGATTATATCTAGCTAATGGATCCCTTTCAAACTGACTGCATTATTTTATTATCTGTTATTTTGTAGTAGATTAATTAGGAACTTCAGAATATACATAGCACTCTCTCTTCTTAAAATATTTTTTTACATATCCTGGTGATAATCTACAATTCCAGTTGTCTTAAAAAATTATTAAATGTAACTAAAAAAAACTTACTACCACTAATGGAAATCCATTGAGAATGGTGAAGTAAAGAGGGTGACGTGTATACTCATATCCTGATAAAAACCCTTTATCAGATGTATATTAAGTGATGGTGTGATTATATATTGTAGATGAGTGAATGTGATTGTGGTGTCACCAGTGAATTAACCTGAATAAGGAGCCAAATAAAAAAGATTTGCCTTCCTAATTTGCTTGAAAATGTAATAGCTTTCTGTCAATTGAAGTTTTTGATTGGATATCTGCCTTTGGTACATTTCAAGGGTGTTTTGTTTGGTCCAAAGTTACTTGGGGAAACTAGTTTTTGCCTCGTGGCAACAGGCTGCTCAGAGGCAAAGCTCTTCCCTTAGGGGCTTGACTGTGATGAGCAACTTCTGATTTGGAGCTCTGTTGTGTCCCAAGATCAACCAGCAGTTCTCAGCTTCTTGGAGAAATGGGGGGTGGGATCTACTAATTTGTATGAGACTGACAACCAATTGAATATTTGAGCTTGATAGACTGTAATGTGCCATGCAAAGCTGGAATGATACAAGGCTTGTGCTGCAATATCAAGGAGGAGAGGCTATAATCAACAGTTATATAAAAACCAGGTGGGGTGTTATTAGCTCCTCAGATCACCTGCTCTTGCTGTGCTTAAAAGCTACAGTACCAAGAAGCTGAGACCAGGGTAACAGTTCCGCTTTCTTGCAAACTTCCAAGGTGGTGAGGAGTAAGTAGGGTTCCCAAGTACTTACCGTGATCCGGCAGGGGGACACATGCTCCCCGGCCGGAACATTCCTCCTTGTAACGCACCATGCCGTCGCCAGGAAGTGACACCGGGCGACGCTCTGACAATGGGGCTGAAAACTCGATGGTACCATCGAGTTTCCAGCCCCATTGCCAGAGCGTTGCCTGGCATCACTTCCTGGTGACGGCATGGTGCCACGCATCTGTTGTCCGTGTGGGAATGGTCCTGGGAAGACGTATGTGTCCCCCGCCGAATCACGGTAAGTACTTGGTAAGCGTGGGAGTAAGATACTTGAATTCTGTTGCTGGAATCCTCAATCTCAAGAGAAGAAGTTACACTGACCTCTTTAAATATTAATTCTGATTTCATTCAATGATGAACCCTAAAGAACTGCCTCATTCAGCCCCAGAGCATGTTGAATACCACCATTAAGAAGAGAAGAAAAAGAGAAGAGATTGGATTTATACTCCACCCTTCACTCGGAGTCTCAGAGCAGCTTACAAACTCCTTTCCCTCCCCCTCCCCACAACAGACACCCTGTGAGCTATGCTCCCTCTAAGCTGTAGAGTCTTGTGAGCAAAAATTCTACTTTGTGAGCTACTGGCATTCGAGTTCTGAACGAGCGATTCGGCTGCTGCATAAATTAGTTTGCTCTGGAGCTCTCTCAGCCCCACCTACCTCACAGGGTGTCTGTTGTGGGGAGGGAAAGGGAAAGGAGTTTGTAAGCCGCTCTGAGACACCTTTGGGTAGTGAAGGGCGGGGTATAAATCCAATCTCATCTCTTCTCTTCTTCTCTAAAGTTGTGAGTGAGCAATTTGGCTACTGAGCCTCCGGATCACACATTTTTGTCTTAGCTGAGGAAGGATGGCTCCAGAGCAAACTAAATTACACAGTAGCCAAATTGGATTTATACCCCGCCCTTCACTACCCAAAGCTTACAAACTCCTTTCCCTTCCCCTCCCCACAACAGACACGCTGTGAGGTAGGTGGGGCTGAGAGAGCTCTTGACAGAAACTGCTCTTTTTTTAAGAACA